GTTGACACAGCGGATACACACGAGCCGAAGATACACAAATCACAAAAAAAAAAAAAAAACAAAAAAAAAAAAAATTATGAAATTTGTCTATTTAATAAATACCAAGTGGAATTGGATTTGGGTTTGGATTTGCACCAACGCCTTCAAGTGCAGTTGAACTTTGTTGAGTAACATGAGCAACATGATCTTCACCTTTATCAATATTTTTGGGTTTAATGAGACATTTTCAAATAAAAATTAATATCACTAAATTTTTTGACTATTTAATAAAATACCCATTGGATTTGCACCAATACCTCCAAGCGCAGATGAACTTGATCTAGTAACGCGAGCAACGTTATCCTCAGAAGACATTTTTTAAAAAAGGTTTATTAATATTAATTTGTTATTTTTGAGTTGTAATTTTCGTAAGAGTTTTTGTTATTTTTTGGAGTTGTAATTTCGTAAGAGCAAAAGGTTATATCTATGACCGTTTATATAGACTAATGAGTGATGAAATATGTTTACGTCATAATTATAAAACTTTTAATGTTCTGATTTTACAAATAAAATTTTTAATTTAACCACGATCAGATGTTTCTGTTTTAAAAAGGAAAGGTTGTTTCATATGAATATTTTTAAGATGACAAATAATTGGGAGAATCAAATAGAAAAGTCAATTATCTGTCTCTCTACGTAATTATTGCGTATTATAGCGTAAAAGTGACGTAAAAAAATGCAGTAAATCAGTAGCACAGTTTAAAATCACATGATGAATTTCAATTTGATACAGTAATAATGCCGTGATCTATCAAAAAGAATTCTTTAATTAGTCCCATCACTAGGCTTGAGAGTCAAACCGATGAACGGCTCTACTAATAAAGCATCGACTCTAGGCACTAGGCTCAAGACTTTGAAGTTATCCTAATACGTGAGATACATTATTGGAGCGTCATGACTATTTAATCAAAACTATGTCAGTTACATTGATTATTTTATTATGATCATATTTTTATCAGTAAAATTAAAATAATTAATCGAATAAAATTACAAAGAAAAGCGCAAAATTCTAAAGAATTCACATAAATATTGCATTTATTTTTCTGATTTCTGTTGACCGAAAATTGTATCTCGAAGTAACTACGTTTGATTTTTCGCCTTATCGTTAATGTTTAATATAATTTTTTGGCCTTAATGAATTTTCAAATACAAATATTCTATAAAGCGAATTCTCAAAACCCACATATTAATAAAAGAAATTGAAACGTAGCTTTATTCTTTGACTTTATATAAATAACTGGAGAAAATTTCAAGTTAATTTCACGTCCTGGCAACAAGCTAAATTATTTTAAAGATCGGGTTTAAAGCGATAGTCTTATTGTATAGTTAAATTGAAAAAAATTTGATTTTGCATTACATAGTAAGCTGACATAGTTTTGATCGATGAGACACCTCAATACATGGGTTTACTAATTTTTCCCACCACTTCACTATCGGAGTACTATAAAATTAACCAATAGCACCGATATGTGAATAATTAGTAGAACCAAACAGAAGTGATGGTGAAAATTAGTAAACTCTCCAATACATTATGTTCATTTTGCCAATACAGTAGTAAATTTCCAGCATAATCAAAAATACTGAAATATAATTTTAAAAGCCTGAAATCTGTATTTCGAAAAATATGTATCGAGTGTCTATGAGCACTGTCATGGTTTAACTTAAATTCATTTAGAGGCTTAGTTTATAAATAGCAAAGAAAGGGTCGGCTTAGTTTGGTTAATATTAAACTGTGAACTAATTACTCGGCGAATCAAAAAAATTTATAGAATTTACTGGTTATGATGATGAATCATTTAAGACCTTTGAATATCAGAATTTCAATCCTTATTTCTATAGTTTTACCAATGAAATTTCAAACATTATTGTGTGTATTTTTTAAGTTTCTTTAGAAAGTAAAATAAAAATAAAAAATAAGAATTACTTTATATAAAAACTTTTAAACCGCAAGAATGTCATTACCAATTCAATTTATTAAGAGTTTACTTTTTATGTCTCTTGGCTAATTACAAATTCGAAAATAAGAAACTTGTTATCTTGACATAAAAAAATGACAATAATTATCTACTGTAAATTAGGAATTTGCTTCTTTGTTATTGAGAATTTTTTTGATAGATTATAAAAAATATTTACAAAAAGAATATATTGCTTTCTTTATGAACTTACTCTGAATTTAAAAACAGATAAAATCTCGAGATTAAAAGTGACATTTCCGAAATTTATAACAAACTGCCCCCTTGGAGGCTTATGATGCTTGTCGACCGATAATTAATGGCATTGTTGGTCAAAACCTATAAGGTCCTTTAATTCTGTAGTGTTTGTAGTCGACTCTTTTAACAATGAAATACTGTATGTAGAATTATGATAGAATTCTTAGCATCTATTATACATATATAATTTATTTTTTAATGAATGATACTGTTGATGAGTTGATTACAAACACTATAACTCTAATTATAACCTTAAATGTCGAAATTTCAGTAATTTTATTAGAGCGTCTACAATTCGTCATTACAAAATAGGTTCGTCAGGCATCACTACCACCCGAAAATTCAATTTTCTATTTATGTCCTTATAAAATCGGCCAGTCGACTTTAATTGAATGGATTGAAATATTTAATATCTATTTATTGAATGAATAAGGAAGTTATAAATCACCAATTGCTGCCATAATTAACTCCAGTCTTAAGTTATGCAGGATAAATATAACGTTAGACTCGAATATCAGTAAAAAATATTATGAATGGCTTCTAAATAATTTATAAGAGTTGCCATTTTGGTGCTTCATTGTTCTGTTAGAAATTTTAATATAGAAAATTAAAAAAAAATAAATAAATATGTACTAATTTTTACTTTAATCTAGCGACGTACAGATTTAAATAATCACAAAAAATTATGATATTACTCTTTATTAAAGAATGCCCACGTTTATATAGACATTTAATTTAATCTCTATCTGGAGAAGCTAACGTTAAGACGGCATTACCATTATGGTAGCATTAATGTTTCATGAAAAGTATAATCTTATTTAAGTATACGTAAAACATATTTATATATCTGATATATACATATTTACGTCAAATGTACCTATATTGATATGCTTTGTCAATCTAATTCTGAAATTTGCAAATCATTTGGCCTTGGAAGATAATTTGACCAGAATTAGATTGTTTTAACAAATATCAGAGTAGTGATAGGAATCGACTAATTTTTAGTCGACTAAGTTGACTAAAATCAACTATTCGACTAAATTTTATTAGTCGACTAAAAATCAACTAAAGATAAAGATAATAAATATATATACTACGTAGTGTTGTGTATGCATATGGAATATTTTGGAGTTTTCAGAATATTTCTAAACATAATTCTGGTCTGCATTAGCTATAAGCTGCTATAATGCTGGCCGAAATTTCATAATGTGGGCCAAATTCCATTCACATGAAATTTGAAAAAACTCAACACTAAAATAGACTAATAGTTAACCAACATTTTTGATTGGTTGACTAATAAATTGTAATTTATTGTATTTACTTTATATAATATACAACTAGTCGACTAGTCATAAAATTAGTTGACTGACTAGTCAACTAAAAAATTTTAGTCGATTCGGATCACTATATCAGAGTTCAAAATCAGGAAATAAAATTTATGATTGGTTAAATTTTATTTCTTTGGTTTCATTCTCACGCACTCAAATGATATAACACCAACATCGAGATACTGCTTTTCAAAATCTTCTTTATAGACTTGAAGCAAAAAGAGAAGAAAATGATGAAAGAAAGAGACCGAGAAGCGTGATCTTATAGAAAAGTTAAAGAAAGAGCTGGGTACTGCCATACTCTCCTTAATATGTTCTTTAAGAATTTTTATACTCATGCTCGCCCTTTTACCACTTATCACAAACCTACAACTTCCTGGACCTACTGTAGAACAAAACAATTCAAACATAGAAATGGTAATTATATATTTTTTTTCATTTAATAGCATTGGTGTTACTTACAAAGTTATTATACATATTAGTCGCGAGGAAAAGCTGCTCACGAAGAAACCGATACTCCAAAGAGAACTAGAACGCCTGTAACGCTACGTCTGTAACGCCTGCAAATAGAATTTCTCAATTAAAAATTTTTATTCAAGATCTACCATGTTTTTAACCTCGAGTGGTTAGAAGAAGCAACTGACGAAAACGAGATTTAGGATCACATAAGGTAGTTTTTGCAGTAGTTAAATTCTTTTCCTTTGGATTGCCTATTATGAGTTTGTCTACATTACTTGTTTTTCGATAACAGATAAGTGAAAAGAGTTATTTTATAGAACAATGTAGTGTAAGATGACTTTGCCTTAATAGATTATAAAATGATGGTATATGGTTTGTTTGATATCCGGGAATAATCCAACTGTAATTTTTCAGGCCCCCTTCGTTCTGGACTTCTTGGTACGGTCACCTAAACTATTTTGGTTTGAAAGATATAGCAAGGGGGTGTATCTTTACCAAGGCATTATAGCGAGGGTGATTTCAAGCAATACTATGATTAAGAACTGGAAGCACATCGTGGCCACAGAATTATCTGTGAACATCCTTCTTAGTCACCCGTTATTTTATAATTTCATTTTGGCAAAGATCGTTTTGATTCCGCAGAAGGAATACAATCTG